TCTCTCTCTCTCTCTCTCTCTCTCTCTCTCTCTCTCTCTCTCTCTCTCTCTTTGATATTTTGATATTTCCGGTGTTTCTCTGTGTAGCCAGAGGACCAGGCTGGCCTCAAACTCAGAGAGATCCACCTGCCTCTGCCTTCCTAGTGCTGGGATTAAAGGCATGAACCACTACCCCAGGCCGAACTTCTCTTTATGAATGACAGCCAAGTATGCCTTGAGGCATTGTAACAGTGAATTTACTGGCTGCTGCTTAATTTTCAATTATGGATTTAAATAAGTGCTTTGAAGTAGTGTTCTAACTTGGGTGAGACAGCTATTTTTCAAGTTATCAAGGTCTTTTCCCAGCTATCCTAGGGTGTGCAAAACCATCCTGGAGAAGTTTCTGCTAATTTAATAGCCTGTTCATCAGCCTTAAAGCCAAGGATAATCCTTGTCACATTCCATTTTGTTCTCATGTGTTGAAATTTAATCTGTTTCTATTTTTCTTTGGTTTTCTTTTATAAAGCGCCATCTCCAAGTTCAATAAACCTAATTCATTTAACTGTTCTGTCTCTCCATGTCCCATCCCAGTTTAATTACTTCTGGACTAACTCACACTGTGCACCTGTCTTTCCCGTGGCTGAGGCAGTCTGGAAGGGACTAGTGTTGAGGGCGGTTGACAGGTGCAGGGTCCCCCTTGCTGGATGTCTTCACCTAGCACCATATTCAAGTAGTGACTAGTGTGTGCGTGTGCACCTCTGTACATCCGCACTGTGTTTCCTCAACGCGAACTCTTCTGCTCAGGCCCCATGCTTCCACGGGTCATTCTGTGACGGGCTGGCTGGTCATCTGTACCCAGGCCCCACCCCCACCCCTCTTGAGTTCTCTTTGCTGTCATCTGGCGGTTCATGTGAGTGCTGGGGCCACAGGGCTCAAGGCCGACCCCCTGGGGAGCCCCCCTTCTGTCTCTAGCCAGCACTAGCCCTGGCTTCTCTAACTTTTCAACTAGTTTAAGGATCATCATATTGAGTAAGACTCAGAAATCAAAAGTTTCAAAGCTGACAAAGATGAAGTCTAACTACTGTCACCCCCTTGGTCTACTGGGTCTGCTGCTCTGTCATAGAAGATTAGACTGCCTTGACAGGATTGAGCTACATAAAGCCAGCCTGTGTGTGTGTGTGTGTGTGTGTGTGTGCACATGCATGTATGTGTGTGAAGTACCCTGTTTCGAAAGACGTTACCTTTCTAATTTTCCCAAGTTAAAAAAAAGTGAAATGCCCTTCTCTCTCTCTCTCTCTCTCTCTCTCTCTCTCTCTCTCTCTCTCTCTCTCTCTCTCAATTTGTTTTTTCAAGACAGGGTTTCTCTGTCCTGAAACTCAATCTGTACACTCTGGCCTCAAACTCAAGATCTGCCTTCTGCCTTCCAAATGCTGGGATTAAAGGCATGTTCCACCACCATCTAGCAAAAATCTTTTTTGGGTTGTTTTTGTTTTTGAAGACAGGGTTTCTCTGTCTTCTGTAATTCTGTCCTGGAATTCAGCTCTGTAGACCAGGCTAGCCTTGAATTTGTAGAGATCCACCTGCCTTTGCCTCCCGAGTGCTAGGGTTAAAGGTGTGCACCACCACCACCTGGCTGTGAAGTGCCTTTTTCAAAGATTGTTTTCCTACTAGCAGAAATTATTCTAAACTGATGCTGACCTGGATCTTGGATATTTGTTTTGCTTCCAATACAATATAAAATCGGTGGGGCTTAGGGAGACAGGGAAGCCCTTTCTGTGCCAAATGCGTTGCCCACACTGTACCTTCGCACAAAGATGAGTGGGGAGAACCAAGCTGTAAGGGCCAGAAGTGGCCAGGTCGCACAGAGGCCACGCCTAGCCACAGATAGCATCTGCACCAGGCATCTGCACCAGGGCCCCGGTTTACAGTTCATTTCAGTGCCAGTACCTTTGTTTACATGCGGCAGGCATGAAGCCTCAGACTCTAGTGAGGTCTCAGCAAAGTGGGGAGGGGACAAATGTCGGCTGACATAGGGTTGGTAGCATTCCAGGGAAGCCCCAGGAGTCAGCAAATGATATTCATTGTGGCTAAAACAGAACGTAGGGAAAAAGTGGCCTCCACTCTCTAAGAAGGTCCCATCTTGAGAATAGCCATCCTTCTGGATGGGAACCAGCTCCTTTTGATATGGGAAGAAAGTGAAATACTTGAACTGATGGAATCTGCCAGGCTTCTGTGGATTCCTGAGACGCCAGAAGTGAGCAGACACTGGGCAGAGACTACAGTAACCAGGCCGATGGAGAACGGCTGTCTGTAAGTCGGGGGGCAGTGAGAACAGAGGTGTAGGGTTGAACTGCACAGATTTAACTTGCCAGCTCTCGGGGCTGAAGAGCAGCATACTACCCACAAGGAGTCAAGGGGTTTTCAGTGGAAAGAAGAGGCTCCACACAGCTTTAAAAATTACATTTTGGGGTGTGCCTGGCAGTGTAAGCCCATATAATCTTGGGAGCAAAAGTTCTAGCCCACCTGTGCTACAGAGTGAGTTCAAGGCCATCCTGTGCAGCTTAGTGGGCCCCTCTCTCAGTAGGAAACAGCTGAGTATATGGCTCAGTGGCAGAGCACTTGCCTTAGCACATACACGGCTCTGGGTTCCAACCCCGGGACTGGGAGGAGAGAAGGAAGTTACGTTTGGGATGCAGCATGCTCGTCATTGACCTATAACTGGACATGGGCCCTGCCCTTAGGAAGGAGATTGGTCCTGGGACTCTAGAGTCATAGAAGCTGTGAAACAGACAAACCCAGCTGTGGGGAGGTGAGAGAAGAAGAGATCTGGGGACCCAGCCTGGCAGCAGGTCATAAAAGCTGACAGACTGAGGTTTGGAACTTCCTCTCCCAAGGTAAAACCCAGCTAGAAACAGTGTCCTCCTGCCTGGACCCAACCTCTAGCCTGAGTCACACTTCAGCAACCTCAGTTTGTCCCAAGAAACAGAGTGTGTGTGGCCAGCCCTGGGGCAGGGGCCCACAAGGCTGAAGAGCGGTGTTAGCAGATTGCACATGGTGTCTTTAACCTTCCACTTGGGTTTCTAGTAACTGAATCCATTGTTAAAACAGCAAAGGAAATTCTCTTGCTAAGTGAAGCCTGGAAGCTGTTGTTCTCTGGCAGGAACTGCTTCGATGTGCAGTCAGTGTTTCCTGAGAACCCAGGGGGAAAACAAAATACATCCCGAGATTCACCAAAGAGATACATGGTGACTTAAATGCACTCTTTATGTGACAAAGCATGAAACGGGCAGCTTCTATCAATCTGCTCACAGCAGCGAGTTCCTATCTAGTCCCTGAAACATTATCCTCACTGAGGCCAAGACCTGCCAAAGGCAGGGCCCAGATCCAGATGTGTGTGCCTGCCCTCCAGAGAATGCCAAGGCAAAGCGTTTGGGGCCTTGGCTCTGCTCCTACATACTCTCAGCTCTTCCTGGGTTTACAGTTACTTAGGGATGGCAGAGCACTCGCACGTCTCATGACCTGTCTTTCAGAGGATGCTGAAGGACACATGGCCCCACCTTCCAGCAAGTCCTGCTTCCCAGGGTGTATTTCTCGTTGCTCTGTTTCCATAGAGAGCTTAACATAATGCCTTCCAGGAGCGCCTACCAACCTTTTTAGCTATGGCTGTTGAAATCTTTGTTACCATGAGCCAAAAGCAAGAGTCTTGATTAGCAAGAAAAACAAAGCATCCTCGGCCCAGATTCGAAACTTGAGGTTTTGCTGTCAGGGTGATTGAAACCATGCTGCAGGGAGAGATGTGTATGCCTACAGCCAAGAAAAATGCCCCCTTCTCTTGCCCATACATCCTGGGTGGTCCACCTAGACTCCACTGCAGGCCTCCCCTCCCCCTAGAGAAGAGCCAGGAGCCTAGCTCCTTCACCTCAGCCCCCCCTCCCCACCCCGACACACACATGTGCAAGCCTGCCCTGTCTTCAGCCAGCCCATCTCACTCCGAGCCTGAGTGGTCCAGGTGCCTGCTGGACAGGTGATCATCCTAGGCCCTGCATGGACACGTTATGTGTGTCAACAGCGAGGCGTCCTGTAGAGTTGTGCTGAAACAGACTGAAATGTGTCCTCCAAGAAGATGCAATGAAGTCCTGAAGGTGTACCCAGGTGCGAAAATGGTATATCTGCAGGAGGAACCAAGATGAGACCATATTGGATCAGAGTAGTCCTAAATTCTGTCACTGGTGTCCTTACCAAAAGAGACTTGGGGGGTGAGGGATGTAGTCCAGTGGGTAGAGTGCTTGCCTAGTATATACAGAAGCCATGGGTACCATCCCTAGCACAGCATGAAGCCAGGTGTGGCATACACCTATAATTTCATGGGGAGGCAGGAAGATCAGAAATTCAAGAACAACCTCTGTTACATAGTGAGTTCGAGGCCATCCTGGGGTATATGAGACCCTGTCTCGAAAGAAGACACAGAGGGATAGGGTAGGGAGGTGCAGGGGGAAGTGACAACAGGCAGAGGCCATGACACAAAGCTGAAACAGAGGATGTATACCAAGTACTAGGGCTAGGAGAAAGGTGTAGAGGATTGTCCCTTAGCAGAAAGAGCCAACC